GCTTCTCTGTGCGAGTTTTATTCGCTTCTTCAGACATGGCCTCGTCCCTTGCATGTGAGCGTCGCATTACAGCTGCTAGGCGCGATGGGCTTGAATGCAAGCGGAGCCACAGAACCGGGATCAATGCTGGGATCCGCAGTGGCTGTGACACACAGTGGTCGCGGCGGAGCCAGTGGTGTGGCAGATCCCTATGTGAGAGAATTGGCTGTTCGAAGTTTGCACACACTGGACGACTCAGAACTGAGCGACTATTTGTTGCAATTGGTTCAGGTTAGTTGGTTCACTTATGGTCTTAATGATGTTGGATGAGGGCATCGGAACCAAACGAACCTTCTTTATGGTTCCGAATGTATCTATGTTTATTTCTTTTATTCTTTAAATTTCTTCATTATTATGCGCATCATTGTACAGATAGTTTTACTGAAGAGAGAACCGGCATATTCCGGGGCTTCCATGTGATACAATAAAAGGGTGAAAATTGGACCGCAGTGATGCTGCGTTTTGATTGTGATCAATACGATCGATAGTGCGGCAAGAAAGCTACCACAGCACATTTTGTTATTGGATAACACTTATCGAGTTTTATTGCACAATGCGAAAACATGTTCGGTACATGTAGAAAATCAGTAGACACTGCCTCGACCTGTGCCACTTTGCTTAGTCCTGTGCGACAAGTGAACAAATATGATGATGGAGGTAGGTAGATATTGAGTGTTCACAGATATGCATTTATCCAAGTACTCTAACTTTATCGACTGTGATTTCGTAGTTTGCTGCTTTACGCAAAACTACTCGTTGAAGTTCTCATCACCATCCAATTTAAGTTGAAAACCTGAAAACCGTTAACTGGTGAATCGGGTTATGTATGTGGTTTTGTAGTTCGTGGTACGGGCTAAATTGATAGTTCTTTGGTTCTGTCATTGTGTGACGCTCGTCTCCCTATTCCCATTTCGTTCGGTAGTCAGTCGAGCGAAAATTGGCAAGTTATTTTTCGTACAAACAATGACTGAACTGGAGCCTGATTTTTCTAAAAAATAAACGACTAAATAAATGTTTTTTACTCTTTTTTTATTGAATCGGCATACAAATGTACATTCGATTTTTATACCAAAGACCGCCTGGTGAAATGCATAAATAGAGAAGACGGACGGCGGCGGCGGCACGATTCGAATGCAGGACAATCTGGTCGCTATTTCGATGACCCAACTACTTGGTCATCGCCGCCAAGTTGTTAGTAACCTCTTGATTGTATCTGTTAGTTACTGCACTAAGATGGTGTTTGCTCCATGCTTCTCAGACCTAATCTTCCCCTTCCTCGTCTACAGAACGCTTGGAGGCATATCTTTACAATCAAATTCACTGCCCACAACAGCTACTTTGTTTCTGGGAATAAGCGTGGACCTAGTATTACCATCCATTTTTTGGTTGTCTCAGTGTCCATAGTGCGCAGGGGTTTTATATCGTGCTTATTTCAGGCGTGGTTGATTCAAACAGTAATATGTGTAAAAGAGGCTTATTCACTATTGTCCATTCTCCTCACAATATCTCTTCTGTCTGACCACACATTTTTATCGCACCCGGTCGGCAAATCAGAGCTCACAAGTTCGTTATACCAGTTTGTTTCTTTCGGTTTGTAGATAGAGATCGGTGACTTTTTCCGCTGATTTCCGTGAGACTAACCACACCCCTTCGCCGAACAACTGTTCATCTGTTGACAGTAAATCAAAACTCTGTTTGAGCGAGTCGGATGCCGAACACAAGTCACGTGTTTGAACTACTCATGGGAATCAATTAGGGCTAAAAAGACTTTCTATTTCGTTTACTTGATTCGATCCCTCATAAAGTGAAATACTGTGTGATTTGTTTTGTTCCATTGCACGCTTACAGTTTGGCTCTGTTTATGAATCAGATTGTGTTGAAATTTGTCTGTCTATCTATCTGTCAGATCGCGGTCTGTTTTTCTCTCATCGTGACCTTGAATCTGCCCGACCCACGGTTATTCTCGTTATCTCCCTATTTCACACCCGTCCAATCTTAGGCACTGAAAGCGGAAGCCTATTTGGACAATGCGCTTTCGCGTTTCATTCTGTATCGTGCTTTGCACAATCCGATGCAAATTGGTCTGCGATTTTTCTGGCACTTACGCTCGGAAATCCACTTGCCCGATATTCGATTACGTTTTGGTCTTCTGTTGGAAGCGTTCTGTCTAGGCTGTGGGCCGTTGCTCACATTCCTGGCTCGTCAAGTGACCACTTTGAATCGTCTGGAAACGATCAGCGCCCGTGTGAAAGAGATGACGAGTGAGGAGGATCAGCGTGTCCGTTTTCGTGACGAGATATCTCGACCGGAAGCCCGTCGGGATTTGCAATGGATCCCCTGCCCTCTGTATTTGCATCAACGATTGGGCAAGCTGTTAGTGGACAAGTGTGATGTGAAACGGTCCAAAAAACGACCGTTATGGTTGGTATGGACTAACTCGGATCGGCTGTCCGCCCATCATTATCACACGTATCAGCTGATTTTCAAGCATGGAGACGATCTGCGTCAAGATATGCTCACTTTGAATCTACTCCGAGTACGTTCCCAAGACTGTTGATGCGGTCGATAAACTGCCATTTTTAATGTGATCATATCCGTTTGTAAACAATGAGTTCGACTGACATGACGCATGCCTTCCAAATAATTAATCTTCAGTGCGATTTCGCTTTCTTTCTTGACCCCAACCCCAGGTGATGGATCGTATCTGGAAAGANGGAAAGAGGAGGGTATGGACATGTGTCTTGTACCGTACGCTTGTTTGGCCACCGGTCCGGAGATGGGGCTCATCGAAGCGGTACGCAACGCTCGCACTGTTATGTCCATACAGAATGATCGGCTTCGAGCTGCTCTGCAGATTGATTCAACACAACTATATAGGTGGCTGACGCAAGAACAATATGCTGCTCGTGATGGACCGATCCAAGGTGGAACCACTTACGAAAGAACTATACGCAATTTTACTCGGTCCTGTGCCGGTTATTGTGTGGCCACATTTGTTTTGGGTATCCGGGATCGCCACCCGGATAACATAATGGTTGACACTAGTGGTCGACTTTTTCATATCGATTTCGGTCACATTTTGGACAACCGGAAGAAGAAATTCGGTATCACGCGAGAACGAGTGCCATTTGTTTTGACCAAAGATTTTATCACAGTCATAGCCAGAGGCAATCCGGACGTGGTTCTTGGCGCCCCGGTCACCGCAACTGGTGGTGGATCGAGCAATGTGCAGTTTCAAGAATTCACTCGCCTCTGTGAAAGAGCGTATGTGATGTTACGGAAGCATTCGAATTTGTTGCTCACCCTGTTCGCAATGATGTTACCCTCGGGGCTTCCGGAACTCACTTCTGTGTGCGATTTGGACTATGTGCGCAAGACATTGGCCGTAGACATGAGCGATCAAGAAGCGTTGAATTATTTTCATTCCAAATTCAACGACGCCTACTATGGAGCATGGACAACTAAATTTGACTGGCTTTCACATTGGGTTAACACGTAATTTATGTGATGGACAACACAGCGCGCATTTACCGAGCTCTCTTCTTCCGCAACCTCCTCCCTCCGCCTCCAGAAAATACTCTGTACTTTCGCTGGACGTATATCCCTGCTATACTTGATTTCAGTGATCAGAGTTTAAAATATTTCTTATTACTTGTCCATTGTTTTGCGCAAACTGTTTACTATCCCTAACGGGAAAAGTGGTTGGTTATTGGCTCAACTGGGTCTGGGTGTGCTGGTTGGCTCATACGTATCTTGGCACCACTTTTCGCGTTTCGATTATCGAGCCATCTTGTAACCACTGATAGAAGGTTAGAGCCAAATAATCTTAAATCCCGTTCTGGCCACTGGAGTTGAGTTTTTTCGACGCGTTCTATTTACACCTCACGTGACTGTTTTTTTATTGTTACGTCTATTGTTCAACCGGCCTGCTGGATAAAATAAGTGTGTTTGCAAGCTATTTGACCCGCTTCCATTCTATTGCGGGTAACGGTAAAACCTAACCAGGGACTCGTAAAACTGGTTTAGATAACTATCGTCACTGCACGTGGATGAAAGGATTGAACAGTCTCACAGAACACATTGAGTAAAACATCACACGATGAACAAGGTCGTTTCCAACTATCTGTACTAATATGAGGACTGAGCGAAAAGTTTTATTTGATACACAAAAGTTAGCATTACTTTTTCCCGAGGTATTCTCCACCATTTTCCATGCGAAGTTTTTTGCGCTCAAACCAATTGGTGAAACAGCCCGACCATGCCCAAGCGGGTAATCCTTCTATCAGTTCAATAAAGCCATACGCTGCAGCTGTTGGTAACTCGTATCGGATTCCACGCATCATGCGCTTGACATTTGGGAACAGTGCCTCTTGAAGTTGTCATCACCAACACTGTTGCTGCTTTAAAGCACATTTGTGGTTGTAGAAAATCAGTACCCTCCAGTGACATCGACTGAGTTCCATCTATCTTTACAATCCGAGTATAGCGACCCTCCTCTTACAAACAGTGCGCGATCAGGTGTTACAGAAAGAAACGAGGTGATTTCAGGTTAAGAGGAATCTACCTACTCGGGTCTTAGTCCTTCGTGTACGGTGACTGAGTCATAAGACGAAGACCATGATTTACAATCTGAATAAAATCCCATAGCTGGAGGACACCGAAAGTGAAAAGGTAATAATATGTTTGTGCAAACTCAAAGTAAGTTTAATGAAAGTGGGCAAGAAAATTACAATAGAGAGGGTGGTAATTGTCAAGTGAGTAATGTCATTATATAGACGGCCTGGATGTCACGTATTGGGGTCCTGCCGCAGCCCTTTTCTCTTGGAAAGCCGCTTTTGGTTGATCGCGACTCCTCTGTTGAATACTATCTGTATAGTGTGCGACGTAGATGATCGTAAGGCGTTCAGGTAACCGTACTCAGCGACTGATTAGTTGCCATTAGTTAGTTCATATGAAGTCCTTCGGTTATTTTTACACAGGCTTTATTCAGGGACCTTGTTTCTCGCCTGCGGGCACACCGCTCGGCCATCCACTTCGCTGTGAAAAGGATAAAATAGTGTTATTCAACCAAGGTCATCGGAGGACTCATCCAATTCCAATTGATTCCTCAGATGTCCACAACGAGTTAACTTAAATTAACACCTAAACGGCTGCAATGTCCAAATCCCCGAACATAGCCAGATATTCACTTGGACCTCATTCCCCCATATCAGCTGTTTCACACGATTTTCACCCTATCATACAGAATATCCTCCGACCCAGATAGCACATCGGTAACTTAGTTGGAAATAACCTACCACCACCGTCACCAAATATTTGAAATTTTTAAACAAAGGCTTTCGGTGGCTGTATTAGGTTCCTTAAAAAAGACTGATATGTGGAATCGGCATCGTGACATCCAGAGGTCGCTAAAAGGCGCATTGTGTTATCCCCACGCATATTTCGGTCGTAACTAAACCATGCGTGACTTGTTATCACAGTCCCGGGTTTTACACCTTTTCTTTTTTACTTGGTAACCATCGAAACCTGTTGCCATTTGACGTAGATTGGGCCAAAATGTACAGTTAACAATTGGTTCTGTCAACTTTCGGAAAGGTATCGTAATGGATGGATGGTCCAGAGTGTTTTCCGCCCAGTGCTTTCCAACGACGGCCAATGGAAGTTTGTCATTATCTGTCCGATGAAAACTGACGGGTGGGGTATCTACCACACTATAGTGACCAAAATGAAGGACGCACTTCGTGTGGTGCACACGAGATACGCCGAAGGCATGCTAGTTCTCTGAATGCTAACCAACCGTGATCCTCATCAGCTCCCTTATCTTTGTCACTCACGCAACAAATCATGTGCCGGAGCATCTCTACCCATTCATTGCAGAAATAAACCTGACGGCATTTGTGTGTTCGGTAGTATGTTGATGCATTCAATCGCATAAACAGGGAAAACCCGGCATATTGTAGTTGCATGAGGTATTTAATCGTAAATCAGTGTTCATATATGAAAATATTCTCCATATTGTTCACTGTAACTGTGTTGTCATGGTCGAATCTGCTTGTTGTCATTGGTATCAATCACAACTATTTCCGTCCTATCAGGATTACGGATGCCCGAACGCTGGGAGTAAAAGGATACATTTGGGGAAAGCGATGTTATGTGAATTCAATTTCAGGAAAACCATACGGAGAACATTTCAAGTGAACTCCATGGACATCAAAACTGCAAACGCTAGTCTCGATCGAGCATATACAACCGGCTTACAATATTCTTCCTTCAGCATTGAAGAATATTCGTGTGAAAACCTCCGGGCCCGGCATGTTGTCTCTGCCCACTGGACTCGATCTCAGACTTGGAAACTCCTCGGTTCATTTTGAGAAAATGAAGGAGTTGTGGTTAAGTGATGCGAATCCATTAACTTATCGATTTGCCATAACTTTGTGAAAACTACTCAGATTAACATCTCCACTGTCCTCCGTCAATTGCCTACCAACCGAGCGGGAATCAGGCTGATTTTATACGTGATGGAGGATGCCTTGACTATCAAATGCTTGAACGCAGACAATTCTTTGTCAGAACTAGCTGAATTCGTTTGCCTGAAAGCCACATTCGACCCAGTCGAGTGCACAATATTTCGGTGCGAATTCTGTGTGGAGGATATTCAGTAGAAGTTGACTTGTCTATGGCTAATCCCCGTTTATGCACAGCCTTTCGGCTGTGCATCCGAGCTTGCGGCTATTGTCTTCCGAGTATTCCAATGAGACCCTCCTTCTCTTAGTCTCTGGGTGGTCAGAGTATTGGAAATTACCCTAACGTTGTGAGACGATAGCGACATCAATATGCTCTTAGGTTGTAAGTTGCCTTACCTGGAGTAATGTTTAATGAAGAACCAGTGTAAGGGGCAAGGCTTTCCATATTGTTAAGGTGTCCATTTGGCTAGGTTAAGCATATATTTGTTTTACTATCAGCCTGTAGAAGGTTGCTACAGGACTGCTTTGGTCCATTTTACAACCTCATTTTTAGTTCTTTTTATTCATCACATGATTCAATTTTCACGAAGGGGGAAGCGGCCCACCAAAAGTCTATCATACAACACTCAATGGGGGAAGCAAGGTGGTGGTAGTGGAATTCGAACCCACGCCATCCAAGGTGGTGAATATACCACCGCCCGGTGGTGGCCCGGGTAGTGATGGTAGTAGAGAAATTTGGCTATTTCGGCATCTACATCGAATTTGACAATGAAACATTCCAGAGAATATTGAATCTCACAACGATTCTATTCTTTTAATTCGACACTTGGCCCCATATATATATGTATGCCAGAAAAAACGAAAATTATTGGAAAATTATGTTAAGTATAATGAACGGAAATATCGCAAGTGATAAAACGTAAATCGATATGAATCATCTACGGAGAAGGTCACGTGGTGTTTGTTGTAATCCATGTGATACGGAATATGTGCTCAGTGTGTGCGCAACACCATGTACATACCGTAGAAATTCCCACTGAGATGTAACGAAGGTTATTGAATAACACGAACAATTTTTGTGGCGTGAAACAAACCACTTCAGAGAAACCATTCGAGCCCGCCCCCTGCATTCATTGCATCAAGCAGTTGTGGTCACACCGAAGCACGACGGGCAGCTCGTGCAACGTGTGAACGGGAGTACAGAATTAATCAATAACTTTCAGTTTGTTTTTCCGCTAAAACCCGTTTTGTGTGTGGTGAATCAGTATTCACGAAGATCAGCTGTTCAGTGCTGGGGCCCCGTAACCTAAGCCTCAGATAGATTCCCGCTAGGTTAGGTGTGTTACTAAACCGGGTGAACGCAAAGTCGCCTGACACCAAAGTTCTGTGATGGGGCTCGAACCTCGGACTATTGGATTCAAAGCAATCCGATGACAGCAACTAAACCACTGGGCCCCCAGTTAACAATAGAAGCACTTTTCGTTGTCTGTTTTCGGTAGGAAAGTGTTATCATTTACGATCAGTCCAGATGGTTTGTATAAAAAGAACCAAACACGCGGTAGGCCAATTTAACTTTGTCAACTGAAAGCGATTTTGATTCCCGTCAGGTGGACATGAAGCTTAGTTGTGATACAATCACGCTCGTGGGCTGTTATATAACCTTAGTGTTTCATTTTATCCGCATCGAGCCGTGTATTTCAACTGATCCAGATTCTTGCCTCGGTGTTCCGTTCTATTTTATCGCGGATGTTTTTCCACCCAATTTGGATGTGACCTGACCGTGACCTGTGAATCGTTCTATCACGCTGTTCAGCCGTGCATTAGCACAGTTGGGCGGGATCGAGTGAGCGATTGTTGATACGACAGAGTTGAACAGCTGGCTTTTGTAGAGTGTATGGTGGGATATAGTTGGAAGTTTATCACGTGCGGAACGAAGAAAACACGAACTGAAGTGCAGGAAAGCACTGGTAAGTTGTTTCAATATATTGGTCAGTTGTGGACTGATTCTAGCAGAGTCGTAATCCCTGAAAGCTAG